AATGGTATGTTAATGCAGCTCCGATTGGAGCCGCCCCTAACTGGGGGACTTCGACCATGCGTTGCCTTTCCAAGTGGGAATGTGAATGATACGTGTTATGTTTGTTGGGTCTGGTTGCAAATGTTTCCTCCGTGATTGTGAAAGCATATGATCTAAAGTTTTTTTCTGATGCAATGATTTGTTTTTTTGTTTCTCAGGTCAGTGATCGGGAACACTCCGTGATCTGGAATGAAACAACGCTTCGAATCATGCTTCAGCGTGAGTGTATTTGCTAAGTCAATGCACCACAGTCCGACGCACGGATCTTCCTCCAGGTGGCCAAATAATGCCAATTATATGTCAGAGTTTCCAGATGGGATGAACAGCATTCGCTAGTATTCAAGCGATGCACGTCACGATGCCACATCACATGACATGATTACGTGTTATTCATTCTGGCTCCCCAGCTTCTATTAGCGACCTGTTAATTTGGGCTTTGAGTTTTGTCGGAATTGCGGAAGTGTCGGATTCTCAGATAAAGGTCAGCCGACTCTCGTATGCAGTGATTTATTTATTTTTTCATCCGCTTCAGCAGCTGAAGTCGTCTTTGCGCTATCCTGGACATTGAAGTTGGAGTATATTGCTTATACACTCGCATTCCATGGAACCTTTCTGAACGAGGGCCTTGAGTCTGATTCTTCTCCTTTGACGCAATTGCTGAAGTGTCAGATTCTCAGAGAAGTGAGTTGTCTACAGGATTGGTTATCTTCTCCTTTTTTTTGCAGATTTTAGCACAACATTGTTCTTTTTATCCAGAGTTTAGGGTTTAGCCTTAGAGAATCATGCCAAAAATTTGGGCAGCGCTCCCGCTGAGGGGGGCCGACCCCCATCGCGAAAAGTTTCTTTTAGTTGTTGAGGTTGTTGTGAGAATGAACGGTGCGATCAGCGATTTTATTGCAGAGGCACTTGGTTTTCTTTATTTTATTTTAGCAGCGATGAATTTTCGCCAGATCTGTCAGGAGTCTATCCTTCGAGATTCAGTGTTCTACATTGGAAACGAAAAATTGGTGAAGAGTCCGATCCCCAAGTTTTGTTTTTGAAGGCCGAGCTTATCGTTTTGTCTTTTTATTTTGCTTTTTTGAGGTCAGCAGATGTTTGAATATCGTCGTCCCGCTTCGTGGTGTCCATTCCTGATTTGCACACAGTGCACTGTTTCAGGCGCAGCTGAACTCATGCATTCGATTGTGAACACATTTTTCATTTAGTTTTTGCTTCATGGAGGTCGAGCTGGACACGCAATGATCATTGAGAGGGATGAGGGTTCCGACGGATGGATCGCCTATGAAGGCAAGTGGAACCCTGAGACTTTTGAATTCGAAAGGTTGCGAGCATGCTTTAAGTGCCCGGACCGTGGAGCACTGGATAACGGCTCCTATCAAGGATGGTTTGTTAACGGAGCTCGAGGTGGAGCAGAGCCCGATTGGGGCACTTCGACAATGCGTTGTCTTTCCAAGTGGGAACGTGAATGATACGTGTTATTTTTGTTGGGTCTGGTTGCAAATGTTTCCTCCGTGATTGTGAAAGCAGATGATCTAAAGTTTTTTTCTGATGCAATGATTTGTTTTTTTTTGTTTCTCAGGTCAGTGATCGGGAACACTCCGTGATCTGGAATGAAACAACGCTTCGAATCATGCTTCAGCGTGAGTGTATTTGCTAAGTGAATGCACCACAGTCCGACGCACGGATCTTCCTCCAGGTGGCCAAATAATGCCAATTATATGTCAGAGTTTCCAGATGGGATGAACAGCATTCGCTAGTATTCAAGTGATGCACATCACATGACATGATTACGTCTTATTCATTCTGGCTCCCCAGCTTCTATTAGCGACCTGTTAAGTTGGGCTTTCAGTTTTGTGGGAATTGCGGAAGTGTCGGATTCTCAGATAAAGGTCAGCCGACTCTCGTATGCAGTGATTTATTTATTTTTTCATCCGCTTCAGCAGCTGAAGTCGTCTTTGCGCTATCCTGGACATTGAAGTTGGAGTATATTGCTTATACACTCGCATTCCATGGAACCTTTCTGAACGAGGGCCTTGAGTTTGATTCTTCTGCTTCAACGCCATTCCTGAAGTGTCAGATTCTCAGATAAGTGCAAATTGTCTACAGGATTGGTTATCTTCTTCTTTTTTATGCAGATTTTGGCACAACATAGTTCTTTTTATCCAGAGTTTAGGGTTTAGCCTCAGAGAATCATGCCGGAAATTTGGGCAGCGCTCCCGCTGAGGGGGGCCGACCCCCATCGCAAAAAGTTTCTTTTACTTGATGAGGTTGCTGGAAGTTGAGTCTGATGCGATTTCTTGTTCGTGATCGGTCTGTCCGTGATCGGGTTATTGAAACAGAAGTTTTATTGCTTGATCCAGGCTCTAATGTTTGATTTGTCTAGAGTATAGACAGATCAAACAGTAGAGCCTTGGTGGAACCAAATTGGGTGGTACCATCAAGGAGGTTGGGTGGTTGGGGAGACCCATGTTGGGTTTTCATTGCAAGGACATATTGTTCTTGATTCTGCGTCGCCTCGACGGTCTGCCCGGTCGAGCCCTGGCTCTGCCCGAATGGGTTCGGCCGCGTATCACGGGTGGATCCGAGGTACGTGTGCCATGCGCAGAGCCATTCCTTACATCCTATGTTCAGCATCAGTTTTAACATCATGCATCAACGCGTCTTCTGGATCAGTTTGAGCATCATGCATCTGAAGGCGCTCGTGTGTTCTTCAGATCCATGGAATTCAACCTGACTGAGAAGCTGAGTTTAAGTATGGTGATGCGTGTACTTCCAATGCCTATCAGTGTTATGAAGAAAATGTTTGCGGAATCTCCCGTGCAACCTTGCTTGGCACTCCTTTTCTGTTGTCATGAGGTCGGATGTTGGTGGAATATGCACTGTTGAAAGAAATTCTTATGATTTTGCTTGCTTGTGCTCAAGAGAAGAGAGAGTGTTCATCTTCGAAATCTATAGGTCGAGCGAGTTTCCCAACATTTTATCAGCTGTTCCACTCCAATAATTTTGTCTTGCTTTGTTTTTACGATTAGCAAGCAAAATACATTTTCAGCTCCTCTCCTGGCAATGGATGGAAACACTGTTGGTGGGAATAGCCTTTGTGCCAATTGTGGTTGGCGATGGAACAAATGTATTGCCACAAGAGAGGAGTTCAAGAAAATTCATTTCATGAACTGGGTGAAACAATATGACCGACCTTTGTGTTGGCTTTGTGCCCAAGTTTGCCCTTTTTTACAAGATGGACAAAAGGATCCGAACGGATTGATCCGACAGTTTGAGTTTTCCTGGGCAACGGCCCGACAATATCGAAGGCTAAAGATGCTGCCACCATGTGACCCTCTTTTTAGCCTAGAGGCGGAGCGAGATTCTGTGTCTCCTGAGATTTGGCGTGATCCCTTTTCGCCGAGAAATGAAAGAACAACATCGACTTCTAACATCTTTGCAGGTATGATCGCAGAAGCTCAGAGGTTGAGGTGTGACATGATGTCACTGAGGACCAGGCTCGATCAAATTTGCCTTGAGTATGGCCGACAGATTTTGTCAAAAAAGAATGAAGAATGTGTTTTCACAAATGAAGAAGCAAGTAATGCAGCATCTTCTTCCGACCGAGGGCAGAATCGTTGGTCAACGCAACAAGATCGACAATCAAGAAGCGGCAATTTCCCGTTGCATCCGCTGCCAACAGTGCATGAATCTGAAAATAGATCGAATGACCGGAACATGTCACATGAATCTGGAAGCTGGACCGAAGACAGTTCTTGGAGAGATTCATCGTCATGGCGGCAAAACAACCGATGGCAATCCTGGAATTCAAACGGAGGTTACTCCTCCCAGGATACTTGGGATGAAACTGAAGGTGCGGGATCATGGAACCGTTCCTATGGAAGGCCACACTATGTTGAAACTTTGCAGAGCTCGAATAATAGCAATGCGAGACAGGCACGACCTCCTCGTGTAGTTTGGGATCCTCCTCCTGCCAATTCTGGTCGTTGATGGCAGAAGGCTGTTCATGTTCAAATGCAAAACTTCAAAAGATTCATTGCTTGCATGGACACAATTTGTGTCTTTTTCTTTTTAACCACAAGAGGTTCGGTCCGAGCAGAATGGAATGTCCGTGATCGGGTAAGTTCGTGATCGGCAGATTTTCCCAGTGAATGCAGACTTGAAATCATCATCACGTTTCAGTAAAGCTGTACTGTGAATGGTGGAGAATTCAGTGAATGTGAAAAAGTGAATTCTGTGCATCTGTGTCAAAAGAGGGGAGGTTCAGAATGTTGATGTGCTTTTAACATTGGAGTTGATACGTATATTTTCTTAATAGTTGAAGCTTTATCAAAATGTTTTGTATAGATTTTTCTGAATTAAGTTGAAACGATGATGCCGTTTCCATATGATGCATAAGCTTCCTCTGATCATTTTACTCGCTAACATTATGGCTCCAGATTTTTCACAGAAAACGTTATCCGCGAGGGTGATCCTTATTCTTTTTGATGGACGTGCGTGTTTGGTCCATTCTCTCTGGCGAATTATTGACCAGAATTGCTTTGGAAGCTGGCCCTGGTGTTACTGGAGCAGACATCAAAAAAATACTCTCTGACCAGCTGGGAATCAATAGGTTCAGACAAGTGTTGTATTCGAAGGATGGAACGCAGATTCTAAATGGAGAAGTCTTAAACCAAATTGAGCATGATGTGCATTTGCTGGTCAAAGGAACCGGGCACGTTTTGTGCAACGAGTCCCAGCGAAGTCAAATGGTTGAAGCTTGTTCGGCTAATAAACTGCAGATCCTGGAACTGCTATGATACGAGCATCTTGATCCAAACACTACAGACGCATATGGCAGAACCCTACTAGAATTGGCAGCTGGCGGAGATCATCTGGACGTAGGCAATCTTTTATTGGAGGCTGGTGCTGAAGCAGAGACGAAATCAGCCATAAGCACTCCTCTTTTGACAGCCACCAGAATGGGCAACACCGAATTCGTGAACCTTCTGTTGCATGCTAATGCAAATCCTAATCGTTGCTACTGTGTTCGACCTGGATTTCAAAAATGTTGGACACCTTTGATTTGTGCTGTTCGCCACGACGTGGATTACGATTACAGACATGCAACTATCGTTCCCATGCTCATTAAAGCGGGAGCAGACGTGAACTACAGCTGTGATAGCATGCCACCCTTGGTTGCTGCAGTCGAGCAGTCGAGTTATCACATCATGTGGTACCTGCTTCAAGCTCAGGCAAATCCGAATGTCACGAATCGCAATTTGAAGCCAGTTTTGCATATTGCAGTCAAAAGAAACGATCCTACTGCTGTGGAAATGTTGCTTCAGAACTCTGCTGATATAGAATTGAGAGATGCTCAGAATCGATCAGCCGAGCAGCTTGCAGCCAGTGCTGCTTTGAGAGAAATGCAAGGAATGCTTTCTCGTAGACATTTGCGGCAACATCATTAGGAATGAAATCATTCCGTACAGAAGAAAATTGCTCAAGCTTCAGTGGAAAAACAAAACTCTTTCTGAGGACGATGAACGCATTTCGTTGCTGAATGATAAGTTAACAATTTCTGTTTCACAATGCTTGTTGTTGTTTCATTGGAATTTGCTTGTTTCGGGTCAAGTCAGCTCTACAAGCTGTGCCTAAGGATCAGACAGATAGACATAATGCATAGGCAGATCAATTTCATATTTTTCAGTGTATTATGAACCCAAAGGGATCAGAGCTTTATCAAATAGAAATGGAAAAACATGTATCAAGGTCAGCTGTTGTAGAAACCTTTCTATCAGCTATGGTTAGAACCAATGCGCAATGTTAGACAATATATCTCATTCAAGGTAATTTTCTCATTCTGTGGCAATGTCGTGGCAGAGTCCGTGATCGGGTGTGTTCGTGATCGGAGCATGAATCTGTCAACAGCAGATGGAGGCCAATGCGCTAATTGTCGTTGGACATGGGAAATACCACTTTATAGCAAAAGGGACTACGATGGTACAGATTTCTTCGTTTGGCACAAAAATCGAGACAGGTACTTGTGCTATCTGTGCGCGCAGTCATGCCCAGATTTGCACGAGAAAAATCCAAAGAGTTTGCCTTACACCAGTTATCAAGAATGTCATGAGTACCGCAGGAACCACATGAAGCCACCGCGTGACCAAAATGGTGACACCTGGGACAAACATTTCCGTGAGTTTTGGCAAGATCCTTGGGGATTGGATGAAACAGCTTCAGTGGCAAATGTTTCAGATTCGAATGCTCTGCAAACTGGAATTGCACAATTGGAGAGTGTTCTGAGTGAGCTACAGTCAGAGCTTTCTGCTCTCTCTGAAAAGTTAGAAAACTTCAAACAAACAATCAGGCTGACGAGCGCCACTCAAATTTAATTTCCTGACTCTTTCACAGAGTAATCCACTTAATGTGGTGCTTGGGACTGTGCATGCTATTCTTGGTGCGTCTGTTGATTTTCACCAAGGGTCATATGCAGATAAGAGCAATTTGCAGATACTGGTCTGTGCTGTCAAAAAAACAGATGCTAGCCACGTCGTTGCTTTACATCGTCGTTGTCAATTTAGGATTATCATCTCTTAAATGTGATTTGCATTCAGTTTTTTCTCTATGGCAATTTTGTTTTGAACATCTCCAAGTGTTTTGATTTTTGTTTTCCTAGATAGGTCGAATCATAAGGCACGAGACATTGGTCATGATGGAAACATCAAGCGGCAATCGCATTTGAATTCGCAGTCTCGGCTCGAGTTTGCCATTTGTGTTTGAGCTTTTGAAATGCTCATTCGTGGTTACAAGAGAACTTTTCGTGACTTCAGTACTGCAGAGAACAAGGCGAGGAAAAGACGCGATTGCAGTGCTTCGTCTAACCACATGGATGATATCAATTCGGATGACAATCGTTCAGAGGAAGATTGGAAATCAGACAATCCCGAAGAAGATTTGCAGCAAATCAGTGCCAAACACTACATGACAGACGAACTTGCTTCCAGATGGTACAGAATGATGTTGAAGACAGTCGAGCTTCTGACAGATGATTGTCTTGCAGTTCTGCCTTCTTACTTTGGAGGACCCAGACAAGCTCGTTTATCTCGTGAGATCGAATTGACATCTGTGGTTCAGAAGCTGCAAGATTTGAGCTCCGACATTGTCGACATGTGCAACGATAAATTACTTTCAAAAAAACAGTCTGAGGCATTGACTGAAAGAATCCGCAAAAAACGCAAACTTCTGAAAGGCCTGCTGTTCTTGGACTCGCTTCTATTTTTGGAAAGTACATTCGAAGGAGTTTTTCTGTCATGTTTTAGCTCTCCGAGTATACCGAGGTCTTCTATACGCAATTATATGAAGCGTTTCAGCATGAATTTAAACACCTTGCAGACTTTATTGGAAAACGGCTGTCTCCTTGAGAGTGAGATCGTGCAGCGTGGATGGCTCGTTCTCAATTTCGATGCAATGCCGGATGAGGTGTTTGCAGAGATGATCGAAAATAAACAACGGGAGCCCACTTATGTTGCTCTCAAAGATATGTTTAGAATACATTTTCTGGATGTTCCTCTATTAGCTGCAGAGGCAGGGCACGATGTGTGTCTACGCTTCAATTTCATTCCCAACGCATTACAAGAAGTTGTGAAGCAAGCCAAAGAGCGCGGTTCGCACACTCCAGAAAGGCGTGTATATTCTTGGTTGCTCCAATTAATTCATTTCGAGAACGAGAGAAAGAGCAGGATTCGAGTGCATGATGAAGAAGAATTAAAAATTTCAATTTTGGGAGTTCCATATGACAATTCAATGGCTCACAAGAACCGTATGGCATTGGACAACTACTAAATAGTGGCTGTCTTTTGTTCGCGTTTTTAAAACACGACTGCCTGACAAAACAAAGAGCCCTGCTGTTTTATCAGTCATGATGTTTACTTGTTGTCACAGCACCATTTACATATTCACCTGTCGTTTACATTTTATGTCAAGCTGTGCTAGTCACATTGTCAAAATCGACAAGGGAAACGATGAGAAACAACAATGCAGACACCTACTGCTGATTCCTGCACTGTCAGTTGATCCGTGATCGGGATCGTTCGTGATCGGGTAGTAAACTGACTTTGCTATGATTAATTGAGTTTAGTGGCTTGTGCATAAATCTATTGAACAATTTCATTAGCATTTGCTTTAGCTTGTTTGCTAACCTCTCTCGAAATGGCAATGCCTCTCGCTTGGCCTGAAATTGCTCATACAGCAGAAGATGTGCTGCAGTTCTGCAAGATGATTGGCAGAGGAAGTAACTACACTCAGATTGATGATCTGTCACGGAATTTGGAAAAGGGGTCTACAACACACTCTTGTTTGTTCCAGATGAGCAGCTCAAGTCCGACAGACATCTTGAACGAGATTCCGATGCTTGGCCAACAAGTTTTTGACATGAAGCTGGACGAAGAGAGAAAAGTCAACCCTCAGAATCCTGCGAAAACTGTGCAGATCAGCAACAACAGGGTGGTGTATTATGAAAGTGCCTCCATAAACAGAGGATCGTGTCAATGTATATTTTCCTTTGGAGGCGAGAACAAGCAGGAAAGAGTTCGTACTACCTATGCTGCACGACATTCGATGCAGGGATTGGCCATACAGCAGTTCTTTGAAAAACATTTCCTTCAAGACAATGCGTCTTCTTGGTATAGCCGATCTGGAAGTTTCTCGACAGTAATTTGGGTCTATTTGCTTATGTATGTATAATGTTTCTTATTATTCTTATTTTTTAAGACAAAGGCATCATTATAATTTAATCTTTTGGTCCGGCTGAGGTTTTCATTTGCTGATCAACCGCTACACGTACAACAAGAATCATGGAATCTCTTTTCACGATGACATTAAAGAAGGATATGATGTGGACAAAGATCCCATTACTTCTTTCTCCTGCCGACTCGGGTCTTTGCTGGTTATCATCTCCAGCAGAGCACCAGAGAAACAAGAGAAGACCGAGGGCAAACGTGCGTTTGTTGTGTATCAGCCTCCGGGAACAATTCTTGTGATGGGCGGCAAGTTTCAGAGAGCTTACAAACATGGTGTACCAAGTTTTCAGGAGATCAAAGAGCTTCTTGCTTGTGCAGACGACTTGACTACTTGGGACGGTGTGAAACTAAAATTGGAGTGGTTTTCGAATTCGAAAGACTTGATGCGACAGGAAGTTAGACGTATTGACGCCTTGAATCTGGTCAACGAGCAAGACGCACGTTGGAACGTCACAATGCGATGGGTGAGAAATCATTCACAGCCTTTCTGTCCTCTAAATCCCCGACTCTTGGCAAATATCAGTCGACTGGATGAAGAAAATCATCAGCGGAGGAATCAGCTGAAGCAGCTGAAACTGTTGAACCCGGTATTGCAGAAAAAAACTGCAGAGCCAAAGGCAAAGGCCGCTAGCCCGGCATTTGCTTGGAACCCGCCCGGAGGAAACAGAGCTCGTCCAAGCAAAAGCGGAACACAGGATGTGAATCCGGGGAGGGAAACCGAGGAGAAAGAATCGGAGAAAGATTCAGAAAAGGAATTAAATGAGATATTTGACTTCGTTTCTATTATTTCTGATGCCCTGGAGCTGCAGATATTATCAGACGATCAGATGATTGGCATGGCATTGTGTGCCAGCCAGCAAATTCGCAAACATCGTCTCTCCACATTTCAGAAACAGTACAATCTTGGTTACAATTTGTACAACAAGATTTCGGCAGCGAATATGAAAGTGAAAGAGGATTTAGACCCGTTACTCGAGGCTGTAGATCGGAAACTGAGGAGATTGAAAAACTTGCAGATGCTTATTGAGCTTTTGTGGTTGGACAGCGAAGGTCAGGGCAATTTCATGAGCTGTACTACTCTGAACCAGCAGCACGAGTTCAACAAGTCAAATGATCATCTGGATCGGGTTGTGATGTCCTTCTTTGACTTGAACGAATGCTTGCCTGTGGACGGCTTTTTGAGCTGGGATCACATGATTGATGAAGGATGGCTGGTGTTCAATTTTGACACTTTACAGGACAATCGAAAACCCAAAGCGGAGGTAACAAAATCGAAGAAAGGTTCACCGGTCGTAGCTGATGTCACAATGACAGGGATCGTCAAAGTGAGCCAATTTGACATCCTGTATATCAAGAGAGAAAATATTTTGCCAGAGCAATTCCCTTTGCGAGTGACATTTCTTGCTGATGCATCAAAGAATGTTGCTGCAAAGTGCAAGGACAAGCAATCTTTGAGCAGTCAGGAACAATTGAAACTGTGGATGCGACAGCTGATGAACTTCGTCGCGGAATTGGAGGAAGAAAAAGGTTTCAGTCCACTTTTAGATCGAAAAGGATTCATGAAAACCTGCAAAATCGTACTGTGGACACTTCCTCTCTCTGACGCTCTGGAATATAAGAATAAGAAGCAAAAGAAAGCTTCGAATACTCGCGGTTGAGGTCATAAAATGCCTACAAAGCCCAAAGACGTATTGTCTCACCGAATCGATCGTGATCTCTCCGAGAAAAATGCGCCTGGATTGTTGCGATTTGTGTGGTATATGAAATACGGCATTGTCTGGAAATAGTGTGGTCCTTGGTTTACATGATCTTGTTTTGATCATGTATGGCAACTAGATAGATATTATACTCAACTTGTCTCGTCTAAAATGTTTATATGTTTTTTCCACTGCAGCCTTTTCGAGTTTCATTCTTCTGAGAGTACTTCTGCCATGTCCGTTCAAGATCAAGCTTCCAAGAAGGAGGAGTTTTGAAGCTGTTTTTGGCTTCAAGAATGGTTCTGATTCGTGTAATTTATTCTGGTCACCCAATAGTAGTAGCATTTTTGCTATCATTTTATCATCAATTCTTCTTTTTTGTGATCAGTATGTTTTTTTAAAACATCTTGGACATTTTTGTTTACTCACATGTTCAGCAGAACAAATGTAAACTCACATATGTATATATATATATATATAAATATTTATATATTCAAGGATATATAATGTTAATATAAAGTATCTTATTCGAAAAACTACGAACTAACTTTTTTCGTCCGTTTCTTTTACAATTCCACGTACATCGTTAATTCGTTAAGTCGTTAAGTCCTTTTTTTTCTAAAGAGACATACGATTTAAAAAACAACAACTTTACTGTTAATGACTTCATGAATTAATGCATTTTTATATGTATAAAAACAATATTGAGATTATATATCTTCTTACATAATATATATATAGTATTATTACCCTGTAGGAAATTCGACATCTGGAGAAGATCATCAACAACATGCGACAAAGGCTTTACAGAGCTTCAAAAAGACAAAAATGCTCATGGAACTCGACGGAGAGATCTCGCCTTGTTGCTGTGTCAATCTATGTGCAATCGAATTACTCTGATGAAACAGTGATGCAGTATCTACTCAAAAAGCGTGGCAAAAGATCAGTTGGGTACGACGAGAAAGCTGAGGACGATTGTCGTTTTTCTCCTATTCGTGACTGGTTTTTGAATGTTCCGTTCAACGTTCTTGAAGAGATTGCCTTGCATCCACTCTCCAAAAAAAATATTTGCATATTTCAAGAAGCCAGGCGCTTCATCACAGAGATGCAAACTTGTCTGTGGCTGGAGAAAGAGAACATGGAGAAGGGACGAACTGTATCGTCTGTGCAGCTGGTGCAATATTACTTTGACCAACTGAAGAGAAATGAACATGAGAGTTGTGACGACCAATGTCATCCGGTAGTAGTTGATTATCCACTTGAAAACAAGTCTGGAGGAAGAGGCATCAGGGTCGTGAATACGATGAGGAAGTGGTGCTGCAGATTTAAGAAGAGATGGCAAGTCAGACACGGTCAAATGATGGAACGCGAATTCATGCCTCCATCAGAACTCAAAGAAAAGGCTCGAACAAATAGTACATTTTTAGGTTCCTCTTTTATTTCTTTTTTTACCTCAAATAAATAGAATCATTACATTGAAACCTTTGAAGCATAAAAATAGTAATATTTTGAAGCCGAATTCGGGCCTCAAAAAACTGAATGTAATTTGGCAGCAAACATGTTTTTGAATCATCATTCAGGTTCAAACCTTCTGGCAATGGTTCGATTATTTGTGCGAGCAAGCACGTCATGATGGCAAAGAAATTTGTCTCATCAACATCGATGAGACATCCATTCATCGATGTGCACTACGATCGAAGGGCTATGTGACCAAAAAAAACAAATATGGGTCGACCTCCAGCTCGCTTTATCAATCGCAGTTTGAAACGTGGCACTGCAACACATGTGGCTGCAATCAGTCACCTGCCACAAATTCAGGCTTTACTGCCACAGTTCGTATTGTTAAACAAACGAACCTTTAGAGAGAAAGATATACCAGATAATGTCCCACCGGGATTGAGATTTATTCGTGACATATCAGGATGGAACACGGCTCAGAAAATGGTTGTGATATTGGAGAACATAGCAAAATCACTCATTTCGTGTACAAAAGATCATCAAATCATTATTTTGCCAGATGTAGCTCCATGTCACATTGATGCATCGGTGATTTCAGCTGCAAACAGACTGAATTTGTGGCTGATATATGTTCCTGCAAGGTTAACCTTCATGTTACAACCATTGGATGTTTCTTGTTTACAAGCGTACAAATCAGTTTTACATCAACTCTTTATGGAGAGGCAAGACAACGATGGCACCTTGCGAACCAAAGAATGGTTTAATGTATTGAGCAGCCTAAACAAGTTGTTTTGGCGAGGAAGGAATTGGAAAACAGCGTTTCACAACGTGGGACTGTTAGGCCAAGCCAAATCCATAAGTGATGAATTACGACAGCTTGGAGTTACTCGTCTAACAGACAGTCCTACAGCTTTGCCTTCCGAAACCCAATTGCAAGAAATCTGGCCTCGTCGAAAGACGATTCCATTTAAGTCATTATTCTGGTTACCAGCAAAGCTGAAACCAGTTGAAATCGATTGAATCGAGGTTTCAAAATGGTATATTTTACCTAATATCATTAATTAATTCATAAAGCATTAAGTCTTTTTTTTCTAAATAGAATACATCTAATAAAAGACAAAACTTAACGACTTAACGGCTTTACGAATTAACGAAGATTTTGAATATGTACGCAAAAGCTTCGATTCTGCAACAAAGTATTCAGCAAAGCTGAACGCGATCTAATGCTTTTAAATTGTAACCAAAAAGTTGCGAGAATGTTGTCGGACATGTGATGAATCTGTTCATATACTTGCCTTGTGTTTGCATTGCAACATGGCATGGTTACAATTCGCCACACAGTAGTAGCATTTTTGCTATCATTTTATCATGAATTCTTCTTTTTTGTGATCAGTATGTTTTTTGTTTTTTTTAACATCTTGGACATTTTTGTTTACTCACATGTTCAGCAGAACAAATGTAAACTCACATATGTATATATATATATATTTATATATTCAAGGATATATAATGTTAATATAAAGTATATTCGAAAAACTACGAACTAACTTTTTTTCGTCCGTTTCTTTTACAATTCCACGTACATCGTTAATTCGTTAAGTCGTTAAGTCCTTTTTTTTCTAAAGAGACATACGATTTAAAAAAAAACAACTTTACTGTTAATGACTTCATGAATTAATGCATTTTTATATGTATAAAAACAATATTGAGATTATATATCTTCTTACATAATATATATATAGTATTATTACCCTGTAGGAAATTCGACATCTGGAGAAGATCATCAACAACATGCGACAAAGGCTTTACAGAGCTTCAAAAAGACAAAAATGCTCATGGAACTCGACGGAGAGATCTCGCCTTGTTGCTGTGTCAATCTATGTGCAATCGAATTACTCTGATGAAACAGTGATGCAGTATCTACTCAAAAAGCGTGGCAAAAGATCAGTTGGGTACGACGAGAAAGCTGAGGACGATTGTCGTTTTTCTCCTATTCGTGACTGGTTTTTGAATGTTCCGTTCAACGTTCTTGAAGAGATTGCCTTGCATCCACTCTCCAAAAAAAATATTTGCATATTTCAAGAAGCCAGGCGCTTCATCACAGAGATGCAAACTTGTCTGTGGCTGGAGAAAGAGAACATGGAGAAGGGACGAACTGTATCGTCTGTGCAGCTGGTGCAATATTACTTTGACCAACTGAAGAGAAATGAACATGAGAGTTGTGACGACCAATGTCATCCGGTAGTAGTTGATTATCCACTTGAAAACAAGTCTGGAGGAAGAGGCATCAGGGTCGTGAATACGATGAGGAAGTGGTGCTGCAGATTTAAGAAGAGATGGCAAGTCAGACACGGTCAAATGATGGAACGCGAATTCATGCCTCCATCAGAACTCAAAGAAAAGGCTCGAACAAATAGTACATTTTTAGGTTCCTCTTTTATTTCTTTTTTTACCTCAAATAAATAGAATCATTACATTGAAACCTTTGAAGCATAAAAATAGTAATATTTTGAAGCCGAATTCGGGCCTCAAAAAACTGAATGTAATTTGGCAGCAAACATGTTTTTGAATCATCATTCAGGTTCAAACCTTCTGGCAATGGTTCGATTATTTGTGCGAGCAAGCACGTCATGATGGCAAAGAAATTTGTCTCATCAACATCGATGAGACATCCATTCATCGATGTGCACTACGATCGAAGGGCTATGTGACCAAAAAACAAATATGGGTCGACCTCCAGCTCGCTTTATCAATCGCAGTTTGAAACGTGGCACTGCAACACATGTGGCTGCAATCAGTCACCTGCCACAAATTCAGGCTTTACTGCCACAGTTCGTATTGTTAAACAAACGAACCTTTAGAGAGAAAGATATACCAGATAATGTCCCACCGGGATTGAGATTTATTCGTGACATATCAGGATGGAACACGGCTCAGAAAATGGTTGTGATATTGGAGAACATAGCAAAATCACTCATTTCGTGTACAAAAGATCATCAAATCATTATTTTGCTAGATGTAGCTCCATGTCACATTGATGCATCGGTGATTTCAGCTGCAAACAGACTGAATTTGTGGCTGATATATGTTCCTGCAAGGTTAACCTTCATGTTACAACCATTGGATGTTTCTTGTTTACAAGCGTACAAATCAGTTTTACATCAACTCTTTATGGAGAGGCAAGACAACGATGGCACCTTGCGAACCAAAGAATGGTTTAATGTATTGAGCAGCCTAAACAAGTTGTTTTGGCGAGGAAGGAATTGGAAAACAGCGTTTCACAACGTGGGACTGTTAGGCCAAGCCAAATCCATAAGTGATGAATTACGACAGCTTGGAGTTACTCGTCTAACAGACAGTCCTACAGCTTTGCCTTCCGAAACCCAATTGCAAGAAATCTGGCCTCGTCGAAAGACGATTCCATTTAAGTCATTATTCTGGTTACCAGCAAAGCTGAAACCAGTTGAAATCGATTGAATCGAGGTTTCAAAATGGTATATTTTACCTAATATCATTAATTAATTCATAAAGCATTAAGTCTTTTTTTTCTAAATAGAATACATCTAATAAAAGACAAAACTTAACGACTTAACGGCTTTACGAATTAACGAAGATTTTGAATATGTACGCAAAAGCTTCGATTCTGCAACAAAGTATTCAGCAAAGCTGAACGCGATCTAATGCTTTTAAATTGTAACCAAAAAGTTGCGAGAATGTTGTCGGACATGTGATGAATCTGTTCATATACTTGCCTTGTGTTTGCATTGCAACATGGCATGGTTACAATTCGCCACACAATCGGGGGAACAAAATCAAATGACAGAAATTTGGCTTACAGTTGATAGCTGCTTTTGGACCTCGCAGGCATCTCTCGACTCATTCTGTATGGCTAGTTCGGCAGCGGCGAAGCCACGAGCCCGTCCTCGCAAAGTCATTGCGATCCAAGACCTTGATGCACTAAAAGCCAAAAAGCAACAGCTAAAACAAGATCTCAAAGAGATGAATAAAACGGTGAAGGTGCAACAGCAGAAGAAAAGACGTCTCATGAAAGCTGCTCACAATTTGCACGATGAGGACCTTTTATGGCTTCTACGTGAACGTCAAACCCAACGAAGTGAAGACCCTAATTCTGCTCAGGATCAAAATGGAGATGCGGCTGAAGATTTATCTGCTGAGAATGTCGAGCCCAATGAGACAGTGAATAGTGAGGAACATGTGAACAGAACCAGTGACGGTGCTCAATCGAATGAGTGAGTGCTGGCAATCAAAGAATCTCCAGTCAGCTATCAAAGAGTAGTCAGCTTTGTCTTGCGTTACCTCTTTAAGTCTTCTCACATCAACTCCCAATGGACGATTGATGCACTTCTCTTGTCAGCAGAATCGATGATCGAGGATTGTTCGTGATTTGTCCGCAGAGAAGAGAAATGATTTCTCTTGCTTTTCAAAACCAGAACTGAGTCGTCGCTTGCATGAATAGCAAAAAGAGCTTGAGCGTTGCACTGCGTGTCATTAATCTCGTAACATTTGAATGGTTGTGAAAAAATATGCTATCTCGTGTACGACGTGTCTTTTGGCTTCAGGTCCTGAAATTTGAATGATTATGCTTAATATCCTCTTTTCCATTATTTGTTTTCCATTATTCACTCGTTCTACAATTATACAATTGTTTCGTAGGAACGTATTTCTCTTGCCTGCAGAGTCGAAGATCGGTTCGTCCGTGATTTGGTTGCAGACAAGAGACATAACACACTTTTTTGTTTCAAAAACAAACAGACATGCAGCAAACAATTATATTTGCAAAATATGCATTTCTTCGTAGAAAGACGTTTAAAACAAGAACTTGGAGCTTGTAGAACCTACAAACATGAGTCCAGCAGATGCCGGTTGCTTGGTCTCTCTAATCAAAAACTTGGAGCTGCAATTATCACTGGGTGACGTGGAGGAACTGGTGAAGTTAATGAAAAACATCTCCAATGAGATCACCAGAGAGACTGGAGCCACTACAAAACCACGAAATTCAGTTCGAGCATCATTGAGCAAGAATGTGGACCAAACTAAATTTGGTAGCTTGGCCAATGCCTTCGCAATCATTTTTGTCGAAGTGTTCGAAGTGGGTACTTTGGCTGCCTGCGATTGGGAGATCATCGAAACTGCACTGGAATGCATTGTTGCAGCAAAGCATGTGAGAGACTTCGAGCTCTTGGACTGGGTCCAAGAGGAGGAAGCGAGAAAAGCTAGGGAAGCAGAGGCGCTGAAGGAGAAAGAAAATGCTGAGAAGGCTGAACAGGAGAAACTCAAACAACAGCACATCATGCGTCTGCAAGAGATCAGAGAGGTCAAAAAACAATGCGAACGTGATGAAGCCAAACTTGTGGCGACATGTCGAGAATCTTCCAGCTCGCACTATGTGGATGGAGCTCCCAAACCAGCTGATTTATTCCGAGGAGACACACCCGAGATGAAAAAGCCGAAAAACGACTATCATGCCAAGTTCCAACCCAGATATGAAGTATCTCCAGGAAAGAAAAGGTGGATGAACGGAAAATGGTACAGACCTGAAGAAATTGAATTGTTTGAAAAATGTCGCAGAGAGACGGAAGCAAGAATAGCAGCTAATAGGGCTGCAGCTTTGGCCCGCAGAGATGCCATGGCACAGCAGAAACGATGAGGACAGAAGGATACCACAAAGAGACGGCATATGCTTGAAATGTTTCAAAAGGATTAGTTAGGGGGCTTGATCATGGGATGATCATCTTCTCAGAAGTATTTTCTCAGCATTCGGGCAGAAAAAGAAAGACCGGATTGTAATTCATTTCAATGTTTTACTCATCAGATTGAGAAAAGTGACTCCAATTCTTCATTCTTCCTCGTTCGGCTCAAGGAGATGTTCTGTGCAATTTTTCTTTTATTTGATTCAGGACATGAAATGCGTACTTAACACAAGATGCAACTATGCGCTTTTATGTTATCAACGATCTCAAGAAGTCGTCCTTTATCATTTCAACTAGAAAGCAGCAGACTGTTTTTATTGGCATTACGCAGCATTGCTCTATTCGCCATGCCACATCTTATGACATCTAAGTTACCAAGCGGCACGCCAGAATCTGCCAGATCATTCATTGGTTTGGTGAAACTCTTGAAGAAGCAGCTTACACTGGAGGATGTACACCAGTTGGCAGTTTTATCCAAGTCCATGAAGGAGGTTACAACAATTTGGCAAAAACTTCTGTCCGACAATGGGAACGTACTGCCTCCAGAGTGGAACGCAGAAGAAGATTTGAGAAATGTGCAACATCGCTGTGATGACACACTCTTCAGTCAGGTTGGGAAAGCTCTAGCAACAGTGTTGACCGAATTGTTGCAGGTGATTGACCTCGACATTGAGAATCTGACTGACATTGTGGAACATCTCGACAACATGTCATCAACCAAGCAGAATTTGAACAATGGTTCAGCACTGGAAAAAAGAAAATTGGAATCTTGTCAGAGCCAAGATGACATTAGACGACAGAGCCTGGAACAGCTGCGGGCACTGCGACAGAAAAGAGAAGCTGTTGAAGACGAAGAAAAACAGATTGAAGCACTCATTGCCGACATTGACAAACGTCAGAACAGTGCTAAGTTCTCCAGTACAGCAGCAAGCAAATTTGCTGAAACTGTTCCCAATAGATGCATTGATTCACAAACTCGTGCTCGAATTTTTATGGAAGAATATCAAAAAAGGAAGCTGAGCATACCAGCCCAGGAATCAACAGAGACAATAAAGATTGGAGATCAGATGTGGAGTCCAACGCAACTGTTCGAAAGATGCAAGCTTTTGAAAGACGAAAAAGATCGAGCTTTTTCTGAAAAAAAGAACAAGAAAAAAGGTTGCTCCAAGAGACTATTAAAACAAACAGACTAATTGCATTGGCCAAAAAAAAGGCCAGAATATTCCAAGCGCATCTGGATGATACATTTGCTTTTTTCAAATAACGGGGTTATGTACACAATTTCTCGTGTCAATGTGGGTGAGACAATACGTCTGCATCAGATGTAGTTGTCTCTGTATGTTCGACCTGGGGCGTAGAAGAAAAAGAGGTCGTCGACAGTAGAAGTTCATAAGCAATATTTGGCTTGCATGTAATTGGAAATTCTTAGCTTTCTTAGTGTTCTGCTATTCATCAAACCTTGAGTCACGCTTTGTTGATATATTGTTGTGGATTTGTTCTTGAATTAAACCTGAATCATGCAACTTCATGCGCTCACTTTATCACGAACATTTCCGACACATTTCCCCGCCGTCGTTTTTTCGTCTCGAAGGCAGCACGTTCATTTTGCATGTGATTTGTCACGGATGACTTCTGCTAATTCTCGTCACCGTGCATGTTGTCATATGTGGACCTTCACAACGCCACAAGATTATTTGCAGAATGCAGCTGAACGAAAGGATCAGTGTCAGTATGTTCCAGAAGATTTCTCGAGGAACGACATATGTGAAATGTTTCGAACTGCTATGTCGGAACTTGGACACGGCTCCATTCTAGAGCAACTCGTTGTGGTCAAAGAGCCACTACTCAACCATTACGGATTTCAATTTCGTGTTATTTTCAAGACGAAAACTTCTTTTGCGAGTGACGACATTAATACACTGCTTGCCCAAAAAAGGGGATGCCGAGGTTCCATGAGCCATCCTGAGAAAAATTGGCGAAGTCTTGTACAGTATGTTCTGGATTGCAAAACAAAGCGAAAAGAGGTGGCCGAAGACAAGATCCCTTTATTTTGGCCGCACATGTGGCAGACCAAGAGTCAGGTGGTTCAGCAATGGCAGGATCAAGCAATGTCGCATAAACAGTGCACATCGAAACGAGGAAAACCAACCTTGGAGCAGCGACAGCTGAAGAGAAGAAGGACGCTGAAATTTGCGGATTTCGTGGAGATTGCAAAACAAAATGGCATCACCAATGAAAACGAGTTTTGGAAAATTGCTGGCAGAGAAAAAGATGCAGGTAACCATGCCTTGTGGAACTATGGAGGCAAAGTCATCGTCAGCCAGAAAATCTCCAAGATGTTACAAATGAAGAGCGAGTGATTGCGTGCACATTGTCTAGTAATTCAGGCAAGTCCTGTGATCGAATGAAGATCACCATGCATTCTTTTGCACAAACTGCATTGTGAGCGCAAGAAAAATTAACGCGCAGCATAGTGAAACAGCATATTTGAAACATTTTGCATAAGCTTAGAACTGAACTATGATCCGTCTTTGCAGCACGGCAGTTCAAACAGAATATCGCATTCACATTCGCATCATCCAGACATATTTATACGATATAATATATATATATATACATCGGAAACAATAATACAAACAGCGATTCTACTGAATTGAAAGAACGTAGATTTCATGTCCTCGTCTCCCTCTGAGCCATGTCTGCAGACATCCTCAGTTCCGATTACTCAGAATGAAGAGCAAACTGCTCAACAAAAGGATGATTCTTCATATGTCCTTTGTCAATACGATTCCTCTGAAAATGAGGAAGAAAAGGCTCTGAAAACGGAACACAGATCATGGATCATGATGTGGACCTTCCCCACACCGAGATCGTATTTGAAAACTTATGAAGAAAGAAAGAAGAAAAATGAACTGATTCCAAGAGACATCAGCAGAGAGGAGCTCGAAAAAAACTTTTTGGATGCTTTGAACAAGTGCCAGCTGATGGGGAAATTGAGGCAGATGATAGTGGTTTACGAACCACACAAGAAGCTTATGCCGGATGGCAGTGCACACGAAATGCACTACCACGTTTGTTTCAAGATGTCTGCAAACTTTGCCCACAAAGGGGTGTCCAACACACTTGCTCAACACTACGGGCTACATGGACACATGTCGTACCCGAGGAAAGGCTGGTACCAAATGGCAAAGTACGTGCTCACAGACTCTGCTGTGAAGCTACCCGTACATTTAGACCCCCACTCCATTATTCTGGCCGACAAGAATGACAAAAGAAGACATGCTGAAGAAGATGCAGCTCACCGAAGAGGACTACTTGAAAAAAAGAGCGGAAGAAAATAGGATGCAATGGAAGGAAGAAAGCAACAATGGCGATGGTACACATCAGGACCGATGGAGAAAAAGAAGGAGAGTGCTCGATTTCTCCGAATTTTCCGACTACGTCCTACACCACAAAATCACAAACGAACAAGAGTTCTGGGTGTTGGCTTGTAAGGAGAAAGAAGCAGGCAATCCAACTCTGTGGAACTATGGTGGAACGGCGGCTGTGGCCAAACAAATCCAGAAATGCAATAAGGCACACATGGCCCAATTCCGGGACGATGTCTTTTTAGGCACCTCGAAAGCTACAAGCAAATATCCATTATCTGCTTTCAACATCCCAGACACAATTCGTGTTTGGATGGAACACTTCAAAGGTGAAATGGCTCTTATCATCCAAGGCGAGGGAGGACTTGGAAAGACAGAAATGGCAAAGGCAATATTGGCCTCAATGGGAAAGTACTTCTTTGTGGACAGTTTGGATACTGTGAAATCATTGCTTTTCACAGGAAAAGAGTCGATTCTTTTCGACGACGTCACACTGCAGAACTTCTCAGTTGACGAGGTGAAGTCATTTCTCGACGTCAAATCGGAAAGAGCCGTGAAATGCCGCCATGAGGATGGTTTTATTCCTGCTGATACTGTCAGGATATTTCTAACAAATCATGAACGGCATACCTTTTTTCCAAGGGAAACTGAGAACAAAGATCATTCAAGGGCCATCAACAGAAGAATGATCTGGGTCACAGTGACCGAGAAACTGTTCACGGAATCAGATGGAAAGACTCAAAAAGACAAAGAAAATGAAGTTGGAGTAGAGTGTGAGTCGGAGATTCCGGTAATGGATGATCTGGAAACACTCAAAACAAAACAATCGAGGACTGCAAAGGAACCTTCCTTGAAAAGCCCATTTGATGAAGAATATGAACCTTTGTTAGAAGAATACGACATGTCCGACGGAGATGAGGAAGCTGCAATGTGGATGAATCTTTCTTCGGAAGATGCATGCAGAGAATCTCCTGGCAGCTCAAAAGGATTGCCTTTGCTGAGTTCAGGGAAAACCTCGCCTTCCGCAAACAAAGAGCTTGAAGCAAAAATGATGATTGAGAAAGAGACAAAAAGACCCGGAAAAGATGAGACCGCTCACCTTGGAAAAGACACGGTTTCGATTGAGAATCATGAACATGATCGACCTGAACCCCAAAAAAACATCAATCGAGTGAAGTGCATTGCCGAAAACAGTTTCCGACCTTTGGTCAGATACCGGAGAAAGAGCAAGCCGAACCCTCCATGGCACCACTATGAACATCGAAGAAGAGATGTACGATGGGGCACGTCACAGAAGTCATGGTGGCCGTGGCAATCATGAAATGCAAGAGATTTATCATTACGATGTCCATTTGGTTTTGCTCCAAAGCAGGGCTCTTCAACAGCGAGTGATCGGGCTTCAGATCAACACAACTATGGCAGGATTATATATTTGCTATACGATTGGAAATAAAAATCATATGTACAAGCTGTTTGTTTCATCATGTTACCTCTTAGCTGCCCTGCACAATCATTTTGTCTCGTTTTCAACGAGAAATTAATGAATGCTGGGAAAAGCATTTTTGCTTCATTGTAGAATTTACATGAAGCTTAATTAGACAAGGTTTCCGTTTGCACACAGACGGAAGAAACGATCAGAGAGTTGTTCTGCTGTGTCTGCTGAAACATGTTTCGTTTCTTTATCGTGGCTACTGACTCAGAATAAGCTTCTTGCAGAGAATTTCTAGCTTTCATTGCATCTTCTCATAAGGTCTTGTTGATTTCTGTTCGAAGTGCAAGGGAAATGTACTTTTTTTTTTGGCTTCAAACAAACGCGTAAACGGTAAACTTAGGGACGAAAGACAAACAGTCCTCATGGTCTTTTCCATCAGATCCAAACAACACATCATCTTGTCCTCGATTCTATTTGCAGTTCGAGCTCAAAAACTTTCGTTACTTGGTCGCAACATGCCAAAACCCGAGGAACTAGATACGGCATGCCTGGTTTATTTGCTGACAGGTCATTTGACGGTATGCATCCACTCAGCTTTCACAGAAACTGCAAATGATGAGTGGAACACTCGGACAATCAATGTCAAACAGTTCCTGGAGAAAGGGAGGCATGTAACGAGGAAGTTGGCAGACAACGATTTGGAAATGTTTTATCATTTCGATTTAGCTTGGACGGATGCAGCTTATTTTTTTCAATCTCTGCTGCACAAGAATGGGAACGTGGATGCTCGCAAATTGAAAAGCAAAGAAACATCATTGCAAAGCAAAAGGAAAGGTACGTTTGCAGAGACAGATTCCAAAATTGCTATGCTAGTTCAGCGACTTACCAATGATGTGACACATGGCATCGGAAAGCAACATCCGAATGACTGGGAGGAAATTGCCAACAAATACATGTGGGCCAACGCTCAGCTCACTCATTTGCCAAATATTCTAGGTTTGGAACAGAGTATGCGTGCATTTCGCCTTTTGACTTTGGAAGCTTCTGAATTTGCATCGTCGCTCCATGATGAGTGGAAAAGAGAAGAAGCACGAAGACACAATCAAGAAGACGAATAGATCGCTCCATTTACCGACGACAATGAAACTGTGATCTGCAGTGATGCTTAGAATCCAAAAAATCCTACGAATATATCTTGGGTATGTTTTTCGGCCCTTACTCAACATTTGTAGAGGCCACGCATTGGCTCAACAAATGGAACCGGATGTGGTCGACTGGTTGGGGTGCGTTGCAATCAAATGGACTACATACAACAAATGTCTGACGTGTGAGCAGTGGTGATGTCTGCAAATCAGTCGTTTTACCCGACATTTTGGTGAATGCATTGTCCGATGTGCGGCAAACATCTTGGTTGCAACCTAGCAGAGGAGACCAGCGCAAAAAAAGGCAGTCATGCTGAGATCGGATTTAAAATCAATGTTATCCGGCAATGGTATTTAAAATCAATGACATGAACGAGGCTGGCTTCAAATGACCATTACTTTCTGTCCTCACCGTGAACGTGCCACGAATGCGTGTTTATGCTTTCGGCTCAATTCTGTTCATTCCTTTTTTGTAAACAGAATAGATCATTTCATGCCACGAAGATATTTCAAGAAGGGCATTAAACAAACACCCATTTCGTAGCTTCATTACATTGAAACAACATGTGATTGGAGAGACCACATGAAAAGACCTAAACTAAGATTGCCTCCAAAATAAATGGCAATGGCATGGGATGCGATGGGTACCACCTTCGATAGTCTCATCGATCCATTGTTCAAGATCAACAGTCTATTGGCACGCTTGCAGGATCTGGAATCAGATCTATTTCAGATACAGGAGGACACACCAGGTTATTTCTTAGAAGCCAATCATGCAATCAAACAGGCTCTGGCGCAAGCACGACAAGCGATTCGGGCAATTGAACAACAGCAACGCAGACATCTGGTTTTTTTTCACGGAAGCCTTGTGCGATACCATACCGATCTTGAAAGATTTCCACCACTTTGCGATCCTCAAGCAGGCTTTTTACACAGCCAGTAGCCAGTGAGAGATTCCGAAGAAGGATGATCTTAGAAATTTCCCAATTAGGAACCTAAGACGATTCTTGGGTGCAATTTGTGCAAAGTCTTAGGCGTTGAGGGAGACATTGAACGCCAAGAGAAAAAGCTCGCACAGTGCATCAGCATTCAAACTGTGTATGCAAGGTTCGGCGAACTTTGTTGCGGAATTGGAGGAAAAAAAAGGTTTCAATACAATCGTAGAGATGAAAGTTGGTGATAGGGAATGTTCGTGATCCCGTTCGAAAGAAAAGAATGTTCCAGATGCAAGTCGGTGATCGGGACTGTTCGCGATCCGGTTCGTAAAGCATTGATTTCTTTAACCTCCTTTTTTTCAAGGATTTGCATCATAGAGAGTCGCACCGATGAGTTTTATTTTTCAGACATTTGGTGCGACTGAAAGCTGCGATGCTGTCTTGGTACGGTCATTTGGTGCGACTCACAGGTGCGACGTGTGTTTGGTACGGTCATGTGGTGCGACTGAAAGGTGCGACGCTTGTTTGGTACGGTCATGTGGTGCGACTCACAGTTGCGACGGTTTCTGGTTACGGACATTTGGTGCGACCGAAAGGTGCGACGGTGTTTTGGTACGGTCATTTGGTGCGACTCGAAGGTGCACCATTTCTTTGGTACGGTCATTTGGTGCGTCTCACAGGTGCGACGTTTGTTTGGTACGGTCATGTGGTGCGACTGAAAGGTGCGCCGGTTTCTTGGTACGGTCATGTGGTGCGACTGAAAGGTGCGACGGTTTTTTTGCTACGGTCATCTGGTGCGACTGCAAGCTGCGACTCTTCGTCTGCTACGATCATTTCCTGCGACTCAAGGGTGCGACTCTTGACTTGGTACGGTCAAGTGGTGCGAATGCAAGGTGCGACGGTCTTTTGGTACGGTCATGTGGTGCGACTGAAAGATGCGACGGTGTCTTGCGACGGTCATTTGGTGCGACTCACAGGTGCGACGTGTGTTTGGTACGGTCATGTGGTGCGACTGAAAGGTGCGACGCTTGTTTGGTACGGTCATGTGGTGCGACTCACAGTTGCGACGGTTTCTGGTTACGGACATTTGGTGCGACCGAAAGGTGCGACGGTGTTTTGGTACGGTCATTTGGTGCGACTCGAAGGTGCACCATTTCTTTGGTACGGTCATTTGGTGCGTCTCACAGGTGCGACGTTTGTTTGGTACGGTCATGTGGTGCGACTGAAAGGTGCGCCGGTTTCTTGGTACGGTCATGTGGTGCGACTGAAAGGTGCGACGGTTTTTTTGCTACGGTCATCTGGTGCGACTGCAAGCTGCGACTCTTCGTCTGCTACGATCACTTGCTGCGACTCAAGGGTGCGACTCTTGGCTTGGTACGGTCATGTGGTGCGAATGAAAGGTGCGACGGTCTTTTCGTACGGTCATGTGGTGCGACTGAAAGATGCGACGGTGTCTTGCTACGG